AACATCCACTTTCCCTCAAAATCGCTTCTTAAAAAGTCCAAATCAAGACGAGCGAGGTTTTGACTTCGAGGAGTGGTTTTATTTGCGGAACTTCGACTAGATATCCGCAGAGGCAGCGGGAAGGCGCAGGCCGGAACATGTCAAGTTCACAAAATACTGATAAATGTTTACGAGCGGTTCTCCTGGCTCGCGCGAGTAAAATAATTTTGCTTGGACTCCAAACAAAAGTGCGCACGGACCAGTCCCGTTGCGCCACTCTGCTGAGCCTCGCGTGGCCTTCAGCGCGTGAAACATGACTTTACCACCTTCAAAGTGCCGAAGCAACAGAGCAGCCATTACGGACTTCACACGGTCTAAAGCTTCTGCCTAAAGCACAGCTGTCAAACTCATCCGCCACACTTTATAGTTCTGTTTTAGCTTCGCGAAATGTTTAAAACATGGAATAAAAATCTCCCTGGGAGCATCAACAACGCCCTAGCCGCTTCACAACACTTCGGGTCGAATACTGAGAAAATAGGAAGAGAAGAAAAAAAAAAAGTCACCTTATAAAAGTTTCCTCGAAACTCTGAGCATCACCAGTTCTGAGAATCCAGTTCTAAGAAACTCCGTAGCTCAATTCTCGGAATTTCAACAGTGGACTGTACCATTGTGTCCGGGGCGGGGGGGTCTCCCGCCGGCGAACGGCTTCTTAGTTACAGAGCCGGCACTGTTCAGTAAACTAAAACCCGTGTCCCGAGCTTTAAACACATCTTTTATGTTAATGTGATGTTTGCGTGAACATTACACAATAAACAATTATTTGTCTTTTCTTCATGGCTCCCTCGGTAGTGGTATGGCCCAAGTGCAAGGTCAGCTGACCGAGTTATTATTACCCCCGTGGGGTGTTTCTTCGTACAGAGTCGTGTTGAAGTTGTTGGAAAGTCACACGTCGAAATTCTCAGAATTAACGCCGCGCCGTCGCCATCTTTATCACCCGCCGCCGGAGGCGATAATGTTTTTGAACGTGTCTGTGCGCTTCATCCGTCTGTTAGCAAAATATCTCATGAACTAGTGGATGAATCTTGCTGAAACTTTAAGAAAGTATTCATTACATGTACAGGTACAAGTGATTAACCTTTTGAGTCAATCTGATTTAAAATGACTGCCGCAGCTAATCAACCTTTGCAGACATAAAAGTTTATATAACCGAATCACTTCTACAGATACTGGGTGTGGTAGTAGCCGAGATTCATCCAGAACATGTTCTCTGAGCTCTACTCACTGCATGAGATCTTTGCTTTAAACTTTACAACTACTGTGCTCTGCGTCTGTTAGCAAAATATCACAAGGACTACTGAACAGATTTTAATAAAACTTTCAGAAAATGATCATTTGATGAACATCTACAACTGATTCACGTTTGTGGCCAAGCCATTTAAAAATGGCCGCCACAGCTAATAAACCTTAGCGATCACACAACCGGCTGTAATTCAGTCAGTTTTACAGACACTGAGCTAAAATTTGATGTGGTAGTAGCTGAGAGTCCTTCTCAACACATACTTCAATCACTAAATGCTCACGCATAACATCATTTATCAGTGACCATCGATAAAACCTAAAACTCCATTCTTTTCATCAAAAATGATTTTAGTCAGCCATGAATGGCGGTGGGTGATATGCATTCTTTTAAGAAAGGAATAATTTGTTTTCTTTTATTATTTTTCCACACCTCTGGTTCTCACATGCAATTCTTTTTGTCTCTGAAGCTGATTTCTAAATTTCTTCAAGCCACAAGCAGTGGTGTAGTCTACATTTTTGTAGTGGGTGCTCAGAAACCAAAGTACACCTCTTAGTACAATATAATCATTAATTTATTTTGATTTTTAAGCATATTGAACATTTCAAAATTTCTCTGATGCTTTAATTTGAATAAATGTACAACAAACTTTGTACAATAGTTGACTTTGTATTAAAAACAGGTTATAGAACTCATAAAACAGTATCAAAGCAAAACATGTTATTCTTATTAATCTAATTAATCTTATTAAGTAGTAAGTACAGAAGTATTAATTATGCAAAAAAAACGGCTTGAACCAACTCAGTGTGTCTATAAAATGTTCCAGATGTGTTGACGGTGACATGAGCGTCATGTATCATTGCCCGTGATACGTGACATGGGCGTGTGTCATTGGGTACTTTTAAGTGGGTATACTGAAATTCCAATTTTTTCTACTGGATATGTGAAAATGTAAATGATGGATAAAGCCCTGCGGCCGACCTCGTGTAATGTAAAGCAGAGCGCTACGCTAGTATCTTAGCTAGCACATCTGTATTGCACACTGCTAGCTTAGCGCTGCTTCTTGTTGTGCCGTGCTCTGTAAAATAGTTATTGAATCAAGTGTTTACTTATGTACTGTAGGTAAATGTAGATGTTTAACAGCCTGTTAAAATACACCAGAATGGTATCTACTTTATTAAAAAAATTCTATGTGTCCCCCACACATTATGAATGCTTCTGATGCCAATGGCCACCACGTTGTTCAAGCCAAGAGCCATTGTCAGCACTGGGGGGGCTAAGAACCCCTAAATGTCAGATTCTAGAATCGCCCCTGCTTGAAACGATAAAGAGCTGTCACTTATTTAAAGTCTTTCTTCGTCTAAACCTGATCTCATACCTCCAAACGTGTGCGTGCTCCTTCATGAACCTGAAAGGTGTTGAGTATTTTCTACATGAGGCTAAACAACTCAGAAGCTAAGTGCTTCTTTAATCTGCAACAGGAGGCGCCCGCCTGAAGCTTCAAACAGGTCACAGTTGTTAGTTTGTGCAACAATACACGTCTAATGGAAAAACATTCAATAACAAATTCTGTGCACAAGTTCTGGACCACTTTATCTTACCCAGAGTCATTTTGGAGCACAGAGCAAAGGAGCCCTGAACTTCCCTATAGCTTCTTATTAAAATGGCACTAACTCAGTAAGTTGGCGTGTTAGTAGCTAACAGTGACCCTCGACACATACTCTGAGAGCTAACTGATTGCACAAGATTTTACAATTCTGCACGTAAAGATTGTGCAAAACATTATTCACTAGATTCAATTAAAATGGACAAAACTCATTGTACCCCTCAAAACGTTAGTGGTTAAGATTTTGGAGTGCAGGTCTGACGCTAAGGGGGCTCTCAGCAAGATCTGCACGCTGCTCAGTTCGTACCATGAGACCAGTTTGGACTCTCTTAAAGTGAAATGGGAAATGGACTTGGAAGAACCCATATCAGACTCAGTTTGGAGAAAGATCATTCAGAACATTTATTCATCGTCTATCTGTATGAGACGCGCTGTAATTCAATTCAAGGTGGTGCACTGGTCCACAGACAAGCTGTCCAACATTAAAACTGACTGGATCCTGCATGTAACCATGTAAACAAACTCCAGCTACGCTCTTACACACATTCTGGACTTGTCCAAAGCTGCGGGGCTATTGGTAATCTATTGTTGAAACTTTCTCTGGGATATGTGGAAACGCTGTGTACTCGTCACCATTCATGTCATTGTTTGGTGTGGTTCTTGTGGATGCATCCTTCAGCAAGTACGAGAGGAATATGATGGTTTTTGGCCCTCTTCTAGCCAGGAGATTTATTTTATGCAGATGGAAGGATCTGCATCCCTCAGAACACTCGACAAGAGA